GCCACGACCCCAACCATGTGGTCGTAAGTCAAGGATTACCTGTATTTCCCTGCGGGCGGGGCAGGAGGAGGTGTGCACGCTCCGCCTCCTCTCCTGCGGCTGCACGCGGGCTGTCGCCCAGCAACCGCCTCGGCCCAGGAGCACCACGCATGCATGGTGCCGCCCTCTGTACTGGCCGAGGCGTAGCTGGCAAGCGGCAGCAACGGCACAGGCCAACCACTGGCTGGGCCACCAGCTGGCCCAGCCCAAGGGAGGTAAGCCACCCGGCGGGCCCCACGTGTGCCAGCAACCCACCCTGCGCCCGCCGCTGCCCCGCTAGCCTTACCTTGGCCACCGCGCATTCGGTGCAGCAGCAGGCAGGCCCAGGCGCTCCTGGGTGGCCATGACATGCGGCAGCGAGGGTGCAGGCCGACCACCGGCTGGGCTACCAGCTGGCCCAGCCCATGGGAGGTAAGCCACCCGCCAGGCTCCACACACGCCAGCAACCCTCCCTGTGCCCACTGGCCTCCCACCTCCCACCCCTGGCCCTCTTTTACTTACATTTAGTAGTTGCTCAGCAGGGAGGGATGGAAACATCCAGAAACCTCGCCTTAGCTGTAGACAACTTGCAGCACCATTTGCAGACTGGGGCTTTTGGCGGGCTCAAAAGGGCAGAGACAGCCTGGACTATTCCTATTGGCTTTTGAAAGCCAATAGAATTAGACTCTATTCAAAAGAGTCTATTCTATTGGCTTTCAAAAGCCAATAGATTCTATTGGCTTTCGAACGCCAATAGAATAGAGTCTCTTGAATAGAGTCTATTCTATTGGCTTTCAAAAGCCAATAGAATAAGAGGGAGTATCACAGCTAAGGAAAAGGGGAAAAAATGGCAGACTGCGTTGTTTGGTGACCCCCGTGAAATGGTTGTTTGACCTCAAATGAGGTCGCGACCCACAGGTTGAGAACCGCTGGGCTAGAAGGTGAGGCTTGCTGATTCTGAGACAAAAGGGTGTTCCAAAGGTCAGGGACCGCTAGTGAGAAGGCATTTTACCTAGGTCCCATTGGATGCAACAAGTTTATATATATATTTATATAATGTGCGTGCACACAAAGATCCAACCTTTTGCAGGCAAGAGATCTCATTTGATCTTTGATGCCATACTCCCAAAAGTACTGATAGACAAAATTAAATTAAATGTATATTTAATTGCATTAAATATTAGTTATGTATTTATTAATATTGATTATAATGGAACTTTTATTAAAATAAGTAAATGTTATTATACCATGTATTTGTTCATTTCTATTCCTAACATAAGAACTTCTGGAGATCCCTGTGTGCCATATCCAAATCTTTGGAGGGACTCCAATTGTGCACCTCTATACTAAACTGTTCAGGTTAATGTAATGTAGTTACTATTATATTACTATTCTGGTAATGTAAATAAGCTACATTATACCTAGAGTGATATATGAACTTTAACTATTAATGTTATACTAAACCTGAAAACATAAGTTAGAAATTGCATTTTATTCATGAAGTAGTAACATGTGCTACTGCATTACTTCTGTAATTCACAACTCATTCAATCCAGGACAACTACATTTATGACCATTATAGAGCAAATTATTTTAAGGAAGTGAAATTTAGTGCTTTCAGTCATGGGACATATTTGCAACTATCACACCTTTCTTTACAGTATTCATGAGAGAAAGTTTTTTTTTTAATTTCCAAAGAGAAGCAATAAAAATATATGAGAGCTTGCAAGTAGAAAATATATTTGAAGTTCAAATGTCTTCAACAGACAACAAACAAGCTGGACTGCTCATAAGTACTTCAAGGACATCATCAGGATGAATCTCACACCTGATTAACAGGTCATGATGAACATTTTTCAGTTGCATTCATGGAATTATCTAGGTAATTCCATGAATGCAACTGAAAAAAAATTTCATCATGACCTGTTAATCAGGTGTGAGATTCATCTTGATGATGTCACTGGAGTACACATGAGCAGTCCAACTTGTTTGTTGTCTATAGTCTGAGAAGACAGTTTGTTACTCCACTGCTGAATCTCAATCCTTTGTGAACACTACTAATGCTATTACTAGGAAAAGTTACATTTTTATCTCATTAAAGGAAACATTAATGATTTTTACAGTGTTCTCTTCTGTTTACTTCTTATTCAAGATGATCAAAGCTCAATTCAAGATGATCCATATTCATATCCATGCCAACTATCAGACGCTCCAATACTAATCTTAGAAGTATTACAGTTGAACATATAAACTATAGTCCAGTGGTGGTGAACCTATGGCACGGGTGCCAGAGATGGCACTCAGAGCCCTCTCTGTGGGCACGCGCGCCATTGCCCCAGTCCTAGGCCTTCAGCTGGATTTTATAAAACCTTTTTGCTTTAGGCCTCCGCTGCCGTATGCAAAAAAAAAGGTTCAATCAATCAGTCAATTTCAACTTCTTGCGGGAAAAAAAACATCTTGCAAGGTTGGAATTGATTGATTGAACTTTTTAGTCCCACCCAGTCTGCTGTTACCACTGTAGCCACACCCACCCAATGGGCCACACCCACCCAATGGGCCACACCCACCCAGCACCCAACGATGCATAAGTGGGTTTGGGGTTGCAGTTTGGGCACTCGGTCTCTAAAAGGTTCACCATCACTGCTATAGTCCTTCAGCTCTTTTCCTATTACTATGTTAAAAACCATACCATGTTCATCTTTTAAACTTCTGTCATTCCCCATATTCCTTTTCAACCTCATTACAGCACAAAGCTATATATTCTGCCCAGATGCAAGTACCATATTGCAACATTCTACAATACTTTCTTAATTATATATTGAATAAGCTACCTCATAAATATGCTTGAAGTTTGACATTTCACCATACTTCTCTAACCACATATACAAATATTAATTAATGCATGAAATTCTAAGGCTTTGGAAACATTAAGCACATGCTTAAGCCCATAGTTGTATCCACATTTAATGTGATCTACTTTTAATTACTGAGACTCACTTTTGAATGAGTATGGACAAGATCAGTCTTCATCTCTCTTTCACTGAATTCAGTGTATTGGTATACAACATTTACCTTAGTCTGGATTGTGCATTGTTTCATGTTATATCAAATTCATTCTTTATTAAACTATTTTTGTATAAACATGCCGACATTTGACTTAGAAATATGCCTGACAATGAATCCTACTTTTACACTTCAGAAAAATCAGAGGGTAGGAACATTTTAGAATGTATCTTCCTAATCACTGTAACTTTCCAAAAATGAGCCACAGAGAATGCAGTCATATTACAGCAAGTCAATTAGAAAATGCCAGCGGATGGGTGGAGAAGGTATCATGCTTCAATCCTATTCAACAAGTTTCCACACTAGCCAAGCACAATTCTTGCTAACACAGCACAACCAGTTTTGTTTAGCAGCTGTTATTTTCTGCTACCAGCTGCTGTCATGTTAGACCTCGCCATATTCACCTATTTCAAATATTCTCTATTCTGCATAGACCTATTAGTAAATCCAATAAAATGTTTATTAAAATAGACATACTAGTAAATTCAATAAAATGTATGTTGAAATCATAGCAGTCCTAAAACTCTTTACATGGATCTATTTATTTTATCTTGTTTTAATACGCAAAGTATAACCAGCAATGTTTCCAACTAACTTATTTATGTTCAGATTGGATTGCATAAGGATTCCATACACTAATAAAACAAGTGGGAAGTATCATATATGAACAGGAAAATGATAAATCCTCCTTCAGCTTATATATCTTTCTTTCAAAAAATAAAAAGTGGGGAAAATATATTTATGTTAAATATTCATTCTACTACAAAAGCAAGAGAACAAGAGAAAATGTTAGTAATGGGAGGTGCCAATATAGAATATGGTCCCAAACAATTTTTATTTTAATCCACAAATCAAATACACTCTATAAAACAATGAAGATTAGTTTTTTTTCCTTTAACAATGAGAGACTACTGGAAATGGAAAGCACTGTAACTGCCAGGAAAATCTCTGCATACATAACTCAAATTAGTTTTCTACACAAAGATGCTTCATTTCTTTACAGATTTACTGTGCAGATGATGAGACAAACTTATTTGGGAAAAGATTCACGCAGTTTAGTCAGAATCAACCAGATAGAGATTAAAAGGGGTAAAAGGCAGTGAGAAAGGAAAAGGTAAGGGAAAAAAGTGAAACAGATTTAATTTACTTACAGAGCATGTCGCAAAGCACTTTGCCATCGAGATTGATTTTACTGTGAAATAACCTCCTTCCCTGCCCTCTCCTAATTATGTCAAGAAGAGAATCCACTTGCCATTTATTCTTTACTGCAACCTTTCCGGAGTCTGAACGGGACTTTTCCAAAGTGAGTGAAGAAACTACGAATCCTACTTTGGAAACGTTACCATCTTAAAATAAAACATCCCAAGGCAATCCCCCATATCCTTTGCCCAGCACCACCGTCGCCACCGGCTGGCTCACTTTACCTGTTGCGAAAACCCAAGACAAAAAAAAAAAAAAAGGTCTCCTTTAGCTGCAAAATCCTAGGAGCAGCCCCCAGAGCGCTTCAGATAAAGCCATTTCACTGGTTATTCCTTCGGGGGGGGGGGTCCTGTCTAAGCGAGTCGCCTTCGGTTCTTCTCTCAAGCGCTCAGAGTGCGAACGTGCCTCACTTCCTGCCTCTCAACAACAACAACAAAAATTGAGTCTGGATATCATTTCACTCGGCGAAAAGTTAGGGAGAGGGGAAGGAGAAAGGAGGAGAATCAACGCGGGCTGCCCTCTTCGCCAGCTTTTCTTGACAGAGGAAGCACAAGGCGAGCTTTTTTTTCTCCGAGCGCTCAAGGTTTTTCCTCCCCTCCCCCCTGTCCGCCCTTTCCTTCCTCGTTCCCCTTTTGGAGGCGTTCCCATTGGCTCCAGCCATGCGGAAGGATACGGTGTGGTCATTAAAGTACAGCCCTCTATGTTTGAAGCCCCATTACCTCAGAGGCCTGGAATGCTCGGCAGGGGGAATGTCAGCAATGGGACAGCTGCTGCCGCTGCCCTGGCTGGAAGGAGCGCGGAGGGGGAGGCGGTGGCGGGGAGCTGGCAGGCAGGGCTGAACGGGAGATGCCGAAGGCACACGTCTGTCCCTAACTTGCCATTCCTCTTGGTCGTTTGCGCCCGCTGTAGCAAGAACAAAGCCTTTTGCCCGTGAAAACTCGTGCCCCAAGACTTCTCTCCTTTTTTACTGGACTGTTTACATCCCTCTATCGTCCAGAGGGGCGTTACGCAAAGAAAAAAAGGACACGGACAGATGAATAACAAACTACAGGCTTGATTGCAACCGCGTAATGTTTGGTTCTTTGCTAGCTTATATTCAAGCAATCGACAAGTTTCATTGACAAGCGTTACTGATTTAAGGAAGCACATCATCCAGCCATGCCTGATCAGGACCCATCTGATTTTCAAAACGATGATGCTCCAGAGAGCAGGTGCCATGATAGAATAGATTCTCCTGAGACCCACTAGTAGTTGATACATGTCTGCATATGGGATTTAGTGTATGCCTTTCCTGCCTGACCAGATAGGATGGGTAAAGTACAGAGTGTCAGTCAGTCCCTGCCCCTCATTGCTATATTTCATGCTACGTGCTTCTTTTCTTAGTGCTTTGTGAAGATGTGCATAGGAGTATAATAGCTCTGCTTATCATTTTAGACCAGCATTTGGTTAACTAGATGCTGTGAAGCATTTGCAAGCAGGAGCTAGAAACCTATCCCTTATCCACCACTGTTCCCTTGAAAGCTGGTATTTGGAAGCATGCTACTCCTAATTGAGACCTAGCCTTCAATTCCCTTTTAAAGCCATGTGACTTACCAGCCATCACTACATTTTGTGGCAATGAATTCAAGTTAATTCTGCATTACCTGAGGAAGTGTTTTAATTATTCTACATCACCTTCCAATCAGCTTCACTAGATGGCCCTTGATCATAGCCTTTTAAGTCCAAGGGACTCACAGGAGTCTTCTCCAGCACCATAGTTCAAAAGCCTCAATTCTTTGTTGCTCAGCCTTTCTTATGGTCCAACTTTCACATCCATACATTGCAACTGGGAAAACCATGGCCTTGACTATACGCACTTTTGTTGGCAGGGTGATGTCTCTGCTTTTTAGTATGCTGTCTAGATTTGCCATAGCTTTCCTCCCCAGGAGCAAGCGTCTTTTAATTTCTTTGCTGCAGTCCCCATCTGAGGTGATCTTGGAGCCCAGAAAAATAAAATCTGTCACTACCTCCATTTCTTCCCCATCTATTTGCCAGGAATTGAGAGAGCCGGATGCCATGATTTTGGTTTTCTTAATGTTGACTTTCAAGCCAACTTTTACACTCTCCTTCTTCACCCGCATCAAGAGGCTTTTTAGTTCCATTTCACTTTCTGCCATTAGAGTGGTGTCATCCGCATATCTTAGGTTGTTGATATTTCTCCCGGCAATCTTAATTCTAACTTTTGATTCATCTAGCCCTGCCTTTCTCATGATGTGCTCTGCATATAAGTTAAATAGGCAGGGCAACAGAATACAGCCTTGCCGGACTCCTTTCCCAATTTTGAACCAATCAGTGGTTCCATGTCCAGTTCTCACTGTTGCTTCTTGACCCGCATAGACTAGTGTTTTTCTTGACTGCCTATTCCTTTACTATTGATAGTTGAGCCTAAAAGACAAAAATTATCTACTATCTATTTAGAATTCACAATGTCTTTATTCTGAATTCTAAGACTACCTGTTGCCATTAGTTTCCTTTCTTTATATTTAACAGAATAATATTTAATATAGTCCCATTTTGTTCACAATTCTCCTTTTATTTTTACAGCTTGCACATCATTTGCTTTTTTTGGCTATCAAAGTAGTGTCATCAGCATAGCACAGATTGTTGATGTTTCTTCCTCTAATTTTAAAACCACACTCATCTCATTCCAATCCAGTTTACCTTAATATATATTCAGCACATAGGTTGAATAAATAAGGGGAGAATATATAGCTTTATCTCACATCTTTGCCAGCTGGAGCCAGTCTGTTACACCATGTTCTGTACATATTGTGGCTTCCTGACCTGTATATAGGTTTCACATGAAGACAATGAGATATACTGGGATTCCTGTTTTTCTGCCGTATTCACATTCCACAGCTTGATGTGATCAACACAAAGACCTTTCTGTAATCGGTGAAACATATACTGACTTATTTTTGGTATTCTTTTATGCCTTTCATTCAAAACACAAATTCCAAAATCTGATTTTCAACTCTAGGCATCATAACTTAACAGCATTGGCCTAATTAATTCACCAGGATCTTATCACTTCCTAGTGTCTGAGAATAGGAAAGATGGCAAAGAGCATATCTTGCATTTATCATAGTCTCCAAGTTTCCTGATGTTTTAAAATCAGTAGCAAAGATAAGTTGCTCCAAAGGAGCAATACTATGGGAAGAAAATATTGTTTCCCTTCTGGAAGAGGAAAACAAGAAGGAGATGAAGCCACTATTAAATTGGAATAATGTAAGCTTTTGATAGGGAAAATGTAATTATATTTAATGTGTATATAAGTGTGCAGATAGTGCAAATTTCTTTGTGTGGAAATAATGTTCTTTCCATTTGTGTCTGATGAAATATAGGACTGCTCTGCCCAGTTTCCTCTCTACTACAACTCAACATAGACATATATCTATTCAACACATTCAACAAATGTGAGAACCAATGTAAACACCATCATTAACTTAGAAAATAGTCAATCCTTCTTTGGTAATATTTTCAATCCTGTGTTGCCTAACAGTCCAATCATTTCTCTGGCTTTTTCACTGTTTCTATTAATCTAAGATTTTTTTAAATATAAAAATGTAGGTTTTTCCCTCAGGCCATCACTCTGCTGAACACTTAATTCTTACAGTACTATCTAATGCCTATGTGTATATGGTTGTAGCATTATTATTTATCCTTATTATCTTTCTTGCTCCCCGCACTTATTGGTATTATTAAGATTATTATCATTCTGTTGCCTTGCATGTATACTTAAAGCTTCTGCACCAGAGACAAATTCCGTGTGTGTCTAATCACGCTTGGTCAAATAAAGTATTCCATTCAATAATGCTTCAATGCCAATTTATACTTGTTTGCTAATTTTTGTGCTACTTCTTCTTGCTTGGATAAGCTTTCTACATGTTATAATAAATATTTTTAGTTTTTAGTTTTTCTTGGCTCTTCATGTAAATATCTCATTAAATAAGCTAATACCATTGTTAATCTGTGGTACATGCTCTAGCCAAGCTTTTTTATTGTTTTAAACAATCTCTCAGCATTTTAAAATGATTTAAACCCCAGTATTTTTTTCAGGGGCTACAACAGCATATTTATATTCTGTTATATGCAATTAAGATAGAGATGATTTCTCATGATATCAAATATGAAAAACATTTACTGTGATCTGATACATTTCAACCTATTTTTCTTTCCATGATTATAAACAAGGTCTAAAGATTGGAGGAACCAGCACAGGGAGCAAGAGTCTGACTAAAAATGATCACCCACACTGAACTTGTATATATTCACTCAGGATTAAGTCCAATTAGAGCCAGTTTGGTGTAGTGATTATAGCAGGGGTTCTCAACCTTGGCAACTTTAAGACTTGTGGACTTCAACCCCCAGAATTCCTTAGCCAGCAAAGCTGGCTGAGGAATTCTGGAAGTTGAAGTCCACAAGTCTTAAAGTTGCCAAGGTTGAGAACCCCTGGGTTATAGTCTCTTGATTTGTAGCCCAGCATCTTTAACTGATTCATCACCTGCTCTAACTGTACTTAGTCCAATGAGACCCAGACATAAATCTAGTCCCACCATAGGCACAAAGCCAACTGATTGGGATTGGGCCAGTTATACTCTTTCTTGGCCCTAGAAAGGAGGCAATGGTAAACTATTTCCAAAAATCTTGCCAAGAAAATTGCAGGGACATGTCTAGGCAGTCACTAGGGATTTGAAGTAAGAAAAAAGAAAAGAAAAAAGTCAATTTATTCAATAAGATTTATTTCCCAAAATAGACAAATGCTAAGTAAGTGATTGAATCTTATATTAACTGTATGAACCAGAGCAAAGAATTGATTAAAACAGATCCCTGTTCAGTTCCTAAAGCTCTAGTTTCATCTCCTTGTCCTTTACCATCTGTAACAGGAAAGACCTCAAATTTCTTCTTCCTGGCAATGCTGAATTAATTCAGTATTGTTGGAGTCAAGCTGCTATCACAAGAGTGAATGGGGTCAATAGTTCATAAAATAAGAGAGCCTTACTCTTTGTTTTTCTCTAAGTTAATATCTGATGGGAGTGCTGGCCACTTGTGGTCAATTAAAAGCAAGAAACTGAAGAATGAAAAAAGGTTATGTCCTTCCTTTATCTTTATTCTTCGTACATCCCATTCACTTTCTGGAAGCATTTTTTTTTCTTTGCTCAAACAGGTTAACAGAGTAAATATTTATCTATAGAATCTACTTTGGTTCTCAGTCGTTTGTGCTATGTGAATAATGAGACATATCATGAACTATTACACAAACACAGTGGGTTGGACCCAGAGTTACAAAATTGAATTTTCTGTCCTTCCTCCTCAGTATAATTCCATGTCTACTAAAAGTCCTTTTCTGAAAATCCAAGAGCCATTGTAAAATCTAGAATATAGTCTAGATGTAGACATTTTATGGCCCATGGGCCACATCTGACCATTTGGCTGTTCTTGTCCAGACCATGGCAGGAGAGGTGGGGACATCAGCAGCTCCTACTTTCTCATGTGGCCCCTTGGGAAAATTAATTGTCCATTCCTGATATAGTCTATAAAATAAATGGAGGAAGGGGCAATACAGTTGGGAATTGAGAAAAAAATGGGCAATTTCCTCAATCCAGAAAGTGCATATGTGATGTTGCATTTATGCAACTCTATGAAGTCTAATGGAAATAAGAGTGCCCTTTGTAGGACCAGTGAGCACAGAAAACTATGTAGTGAAATGTAATAATTAAAAAATAATTTTGAAAGGTGCTTTGGAAGTAAAATCAAATGTAAACTGAAGTGGCAGACGTCATTTTCACTAATCACAGAGAAGACTATGTACATTTGCAGCCATTACCTTAGAAAGTTGGAACGTTTAGCAACAAGAATGTCAGCAATGGAACAGCTGCTGCTTTGGCTAAAAGCCCATTGCAGAAATATATATGGGGTTTACAATAAATAGCAGCTGATCAGTTTTTCATTATGCTAAGCTTTTTTTGATTAAAGTCAGACTTTCCAAATGCATTGGTCTTATTTTTAACAGTTCCCAGAAATATTTTAATCTTCCCCTTAAATTAGGTTTACTCTCAATATATTGTAAATGGATCAGAGGG